AATAGCCGACTTTAGATATTTTGGTTCGATGACTATGTACAAAAGAACGCACACGAGGCTCCGGGGAAACAATGGATAATCTTGATTTATTCTTTTATTTCCCCGGAGCCTCGTCCGCAATTCTTTTGTGCATGGTCACTGAACCAAAATATCTAAAGTCGTCTATTTAAATATCGTTTGTTTTTTCGGTTAAGATTTTTCTTCTTAATAAACTTTAATACCTACCAAAACAAGAATACTCGTCGATGGCAACTTTTCGTGCATCGTCCATAAGATAGCTTCAATGCCCTCTACAATCTGATCTGTCGTGTTATTATAATTGTTMGTTCCTACTAGCAGAACGGCAACCTGAAACAACAACAAATGACAGACTTATCGCAAWCTTCATTCTTGATTGATTCTAAATCTATTCGCTTTGTTTTCAATCACCATTATTCTGTACCCACTACCAAATGTACCTTTGTCATAGCAAAACAGCTATTATATGATTATGAAGATGCATTAAGCTATACATTGGCCATCAATGGATAGAAAACTTACTACGTTTCAGACTGATAGACGTTGAATAAAAAGTATAGTCGTATAGGTAAATTGCTTTTATGGTGAGTATAATTTATCRTTTTTATCAAACTATTTCCTTAGAAACACTGACTCTGAATGACAAGTGTGAGGTAGGGAAAAAAGTTGKATACCTTGGGAGAGAGCRCATCCAATTCTCCGTTTTGCATTCGCCACAGCACATGTTCAGTCGCATCGCCACCAATCCCAAAGTTAAGCGATCTCAAAGGTTTGAAGAGTTCATCCCACTCCTAGAGCAAAACGGGTATAATGAATTGTTAGACAAGTAGAACATTTGTACAAACAAGTGGTTTTACAATAATTGGTTAATCTACAATAAGTAATTTAGGAGACATCATTGAAAAAAGCCGTAGTGCAGTGAACTTGGCATCAAATGAACAGCACAGCATGGAAAAGAAAGCACAAAACAGCTTGAAAGCAATGGAAAGAAAATTAAACGCTCTTAGAGCAACTACACGGGCTAAGGAACACAAAAAGCACAATTTTGTGGCATGTTTTTCTCATCACTGTCAAAATTAAGTTTCCATTTTTTTTTGGGTTATGAAATTCTGTTTTGAAAAGAATTCTTGAAAATAGCTGTAATAGCATAAATGGCCGACAAAAAGAACAAAAACCTCATAAATTAGAAACTTTTTGTGCATTGAGTGTGGAAATTTGATGTACTTGTAAATTATSCATAAATTTCCACCTCCCTCCCTGAATGCTTGAATAGCWTCATAAGATCATAGCTGCAGTAGTTACAATAGTAAAACAGCAATTTTACTTTATGTTATTTACATTGGTTTCTTCCATGTGCCTTATTATTGAGTCACCAACGAACAGGATCTGACATGATGAATCCTTTCCTTGGCGAAGGAATCTTTCATGCTGAAACAAAAAGTAAAACTGAAGTCGCTATATATATCATTTGGAGGTGTTAATTAACCATGGAATAATGAGATGCAATCCTTTTCCCAACCTGACTTCTCCATCGTCCATCCCCTTGTAAATCTTCAACAGGAGTTGGAATGACAGCAGAATTACTCATGGTTAAAGTATTGCCAGTCCCTTTTTACTTTACTGTTGGAAACTAAAAGAAAAGTGAACCTTTTATTGATTTATATAATTAGCTACAGTTTGATTTAACAATCTCAAATATTCATAAGTCAAATTATAGTACTTTAGGAAATTGAGATATCCTGCCCCCCCTGACTGTTACTTTGTCACATGCATAAGATTTATAACTAAAATTATAATTTCAATATCTTTTTGACTTCAGTCTACTCTAACATCTGGCATTTTTGTATTTATGTTTATTTATAAAAATATTTATCTGTCATTTGAATATCATTAATCATATATTTGAAAATAGTAGGAAAACACAGTTTAATTAGGAACAGGAAAAAACATTAAATTATCAGTGGAGGTGTTTGACATAAACATCTGCCACAAACTRCTCTTCGAAAACTAATTTAAAATGCCAAACCCCTGAGGGGAGAGAATTCAAATTTGATTGACTCAGGTCATATTAAAATTTTACACTGTAAACCCCCCATAAATTTTAATAAATGTTCTTTTTAGCAACTTGAAAATGTCTACTCATTTCTGCTTTTAATTTTTGAGATTATTTAAAATTGACTTTGAGTATAGTTAGCAGAGACATTATGGCACACAAATAAATTATCTCAGCCAGCACTATTTCATTGCCTAAAAAATAATTTGCTTGGTGCTGTAATATTTGGTTCTGGAAAAGTCTGTAAATTACCTTGTTATTGTATTTATCAGATCAGTAATTGAATGTGCAATTAGCAAAAGCTCAATTTACATATTGGTAATGTCATTTGCTGGGTTGATTTTCTTCTAAAAATAAATATTTCCATCAAATTTTGCTGAAAAAGTAATAAAATTTGTTGAAACTATTAAATCATGYTCTCTGCTACTGCTATTTGACATAAAAAGAAAAAAACAGTGTTATTCAGTAAAAATATTATGAACATATAGTTTGGTCATAAATGATAAAAACTCACATAATAATAATTACAGTTATAATATACTATATAATATTCAGCAAGGTATAATCATGAATTCAAAGTTTTAAATTTATATTCATATATATAAAATATAAAATATAGAATAAAAATGTTAATAATGAAAGCAAAAATTATTGCTGTCAATTGAATAAATCTAATTAAATTTCAAACGTACAAAATGTCCTTTAGATTCCCCCCAGTTTATGCCAATAAAAAACTCTGAAGTAAAGCTTTACTTACTCGATATAAGCCAGTGTACTGAAGCAACTTTATTTTCTTTTGTTATGATGAAGTAATACTAAGAATCATTCATAAGATGAAGAGCCAATAAAAGTTAATCATTAAAGCAATTTGAAAGAAAAAAATCATAATTTGAAGAACATTTGCCAATATCATCCCAGCTAGGATAAGCTCAATATTGAAGCTGTTCTCTGTTAAATAATAAAGACAGAATTGAAGAAAATAAAATGATGTACCTTGTGAACTAAAGTTGCACTTTCAATAAACATTTGACTATAGACAATATGTTGAATTGACAGACTGAATTTGTCTTTTTAATTTCACCCTTTTTGCCCAGTATCAATTGAAGRAAGGGTTCATTTGAATACAGTTGCTATGGACACCATACTGTGAGTCATTTGAGCTTGGCAAAACCTGTCTCAGTAGGCAAAGTAAGTAAATAGCTTTTAGCAAAGAGCAAACAATATGTTTTCCTGAAAATGCACATTTTTTGTATAGGATTAAAAAAATACTAACATTATAAAATACTTATTGGAAGTATAAAAAACATTTACTATAGCCAAAAGCTTCTTCTTTGTTGTAATTAAAATATAAAAACATTAATCTACCTGTTAAGCTTACATAAAAATAATAGTGATAATAATCAATAATGTAAAATCATGGGAGAAAAAGGATCGGTCAAGATCAAACATTTTTTTAATTTAGTGATAATTTTTAGTGAAGAAGATTGCAATTTTTTATCGGTGTGTTTGATCTCAAGTGATAAGCCAAACATTTTTAAAGTTTATTTTTTATAATTAATCAYTCATTTCTGTATTTAAAAAGGTTCCCCTTATGAAGTATTGCTTATATTTGCAGTATTAATTGAAACACTATTTTTTTCACAGCGCTGTGAGTTTCATATGTCATTACAATAATAATTGTAAAAAAAAAAACATGTGATCACTTGATATTTTATCATGGCTGCCCTGCTGAGCCAAGTGTCACATCATGACACCTTGGATAAGCAGTGCACTAGGTATATAACATCTTATCAGGACAAAGCTGCTGTCAGCAAAAACCACTGAATCCAACTATCCAGGGAATATCTGGTCATTAAACTAAAAAAAACCATAGTGCACCAATGACGTGGTACATGTATAAAACTACCTAAGTATATCTTGTAATTTCTGACATAATTCATACTCACACTTCTTAAAGAGCTCAACAATGAGGGAAAGTGTTATGTAATGACGTCTACCAAACAAATAACTTTTGTCTTCATGATTTTTTTCCTTTCTTTTTTTTTTTTTTTTTGAATACAGAAAATTGACCACAGGATGCCCAAATAACCATTTTTTTTAATCACACGGCTAATCTAAATATCCTTAAAAGGCCTTGCAGAGTACTTGAACTTGGATAGTCTAACCTTTGTCTAATGCCTCCCCATGTCCCCACTAATTCTCTGCATTTAATGGCAGTGAGGAAGCAGTGCTTTCCATTGACTACATGGAGCATAATTACTGCATATCAGTTCCATAATAAGTTTGGATGTAGAATGTGTCTTTTTTCCAAGGCAGGACTTTGGTATACATTTTAGTAGCCAAAATAAAGTCATGGCATGTCATGGCAAGTGGAAGTGGGATTTCAAATGATGAAAAGTAGGAGGAGAATTTCATTAAGTCATCGGTTGGTATGGGAAAATTGCAGGAAGGCGGTAAAATATATGGGATTTGAATGATGGATTAATGGTGCTAAGGTAGAATAGAATTATCCACTAGATAAAAACCATACAAAATCTATGGAATGGATAACTTAAACCAGATTCATATAACAAAATTGTAGAAGTGTATGCCCAAGGACCCCAAGTCTGTGACTTCTAATTCTTTGCAGAAAAGCACCGTAACAGGCCCTCAGTACTGATTGTATAAATCTACGGTGTAATATTAATTTAAAAGAAATAAAATAGATGTCGGGAACCTCATAGATTCGCAATTCTCTCTCTGTAGAAATTTGTTTATCTAGATGACGGGCGMTTGTTTGCCAACGTATCAAGTTGGCAAATAACTTAAATTCACATTGAAATTAAATTTTTCTATTACTTATAACCTTGAAATTAAAGCTTCCGGCACTGATAAACTTCTCGACAATTTTACAGTTTTAGTAAGTAAGCATAATTTTAGCTTTTTACTCATGAAAAAAGGTTGAGCGAGGTTGAGCGACATTCGCGACACAGGCGACTATATAATAAGCTTAAACTTATTTCAAAGGCCGAAATCTTACTTGCTTGCGGGCGGTTGAAGACGTTTTTCCAAGCCTCTTGTCCTCAAGTGCCAAGACTTCTTGAATTGACTAAGCACAATGCAAATTCCTGCATTAAGAGACTGAAACAGATGTTATTTGTCGCAGGACTTTCGGAAAATCACCACCTGGGCTGTTCCATAGGCATGTAACACTATTCGAGCCCGCAATCTTTCTATCCAGCTTCAAATCGTTATGAAATTGTAGTTCATTACTTCAATTTTATAATAAAGAATCTTAGTATAAACATACTAATGGTCTATCACTCATACTGCGCTGTGATTGGCTACTCTACTAATGGTCTAATTTGTGATAGACCACTCGCGGGAAAATCAAAATAAATAAATTATAAATTATTTTAAGGATATTTCAATTTGTTTTCATTATTTGACCGATATTAGGCCTCTCAGCCTCGTGGACTACGAGCTAATAGCCCATTCYGCCTCGCGGACTCGGCTTCATGGGCTATTAGCTCGTAGTCCACTCGACCTCGAGGTCTAATTGTTAGATTTTTTACTTTTTTATTTTCACGAGTGATATTTTTGGGATTCCTTTGGTAGAAATGAAATGAATTCAGGCAATCACCTGGGAGTAGCATGAGCAGTGGAAAAACAAATTAAAACAACAAAATGCGAACAAAACAAATAAAAAACATAGCAAAAAAAAGAAATCTCTTGAAAAGTGGAAAAGTGAATCTTGGACATTATTTCTATCTTATATTTCTATCAATAACAATGTTTTTTTAAAAAACTCTACAGAGCAAAGTTGGTCATTTTTTCAATAATTCTATACATCCTTCTGTACAGAGTTTCTTTAGTTGATCTTTCATACTCTTGTCATCAACACTGACCCAGGCATATCTACTTCTAACATGCTCAAGACTGGATGAATTCACAAGCTCAGCTAATAAGGTAAGACCAATGCCATCAGAGACACCTTMAGGGCCAGCACWGTGTTCCACGCTCATTACACCAATAATTTTGAAGTCATCTTGACCTTTTAGTGCTCTTTTSATTAACAGAGTTGCAACTTCAAAAACAGAAATCTCACTTAATGTTGATGTGATTTCTAAAAATCCCATTTGATTTTCCTTGTCAACTAGAACTTTCATCCCATTTTGGTGTTCTGTGACTAAAATTATGTGAATTGTTACTCTACAGTGAGGTTTTTGCCGAGGCAAGYCAGAGAATAAAGGGTCACTTTTCTTYGTGTCATTCCAAGATTTTGTCCATTTTATCAATGGGCAAATGTCACCAGCTCTTAGCTGTAAACGATGTTGAAGAACTTCCTCAACAGGAAACCAACCAGCCTCCATCGACTCTTTGTCCTGATTTTGAAGAGCTTTCAATTTTCCTCCTGTAATTGTTCCAGTAAAATTAAACCGAAGCCAATTCAYAGATGGCCCTTCTATGCAAACAAGACTTGAGGGTTCAAAAATCAATCCCGTTTCTTCCAAAACCTCTCTCTTCACGGCTTCAACCAAGCTCTCTTTGAATTCTACCCGCCCTGCTGGCAAATACCACAAACCACGACAGCTCTTTTTTGCTTCTTTCATCATTAGCACTTTACCGTCTTCAATGACAACAGCACTTACGATGTAACAGACTGTTCGTTTTAATACTAGTGGTTGTATCAGAGGATCTTTTTTCACCTGATTTCCGCTGGACATGCTGCATGTTGAGGTGGCAAATTGATTAATCAGTGTTTCTTGTAAATGTTCAACTAGACCATCCATTTTTCAACTTTTGTAGTTAGAWTCACTGGCTAAAGTTGCCTCTCAAGAGCTAAATCCAAGAATAAAACATCAGTTCCGCTTTTGAAAACTCTGCTCCTTACGCCATTTTGAAACAACTGAACACACAGGTAGCCCAATACGAAATGACATTAAGCAAGGTTGTCAAATTTCTCAAAAACCTGAACACCTTTATCTTTGGTTAACATTTTCTTTTAATCTCTATTTACATTTCTATAGCTCATAAAACAAACTTATTTACACATTTTTACTTAAGACCTGATAATCTAGAATGAATAAGTTTTTCTGGATGARAAGGCAGGTGAATAAATAGGATCCATCCAGTGGAATATAAGAAGAAAAACAAAAGCAACAACAGCAAATATGCATGAAAATGAAAATAGGACTGTCCTTGGGATGATCATTGTATCAACTTCCACCTAAAAATATAAAAATAAGAATAAATAATACTCTTTTACTATTACTATCTAATGATTTTTTTTTTCAGAGCTGATAACATACAATTAAAATTACAAATTATGATGTAAATGTTTGAGTCTGGACTGAAGTTCTTCCATAATATGCAATTTTTATATTTTTGTCTTTTATTTTACTATTTGCTAATAACCTGATGTTTTGATAATGACAGTGTCAAGATTATAACAAATGCACAAATTATGATTACACATTCCGACTTTTTAAGTAAATCCTGTTTCAATCACACCAAAAGCTCAATAATATACCTAGTCATCAGGGGAGGGGAGTGAAGGGTTGTCCAATACTCTGACAAATTTATGCATAGTGTTGTATTGTATTGTATCTACATGTAACAATAGATTAACAATACAAGACTTTCAAGAACAACACAGACAATAGAATACAATACAAAATGCCATGCATAAATTTGTCAGAGTATTGGACAAGTATGGGAGAGGGGGAATAGAGCACTCAGAGAAAACCACATATTGACCTAAACCAAGAATATCAAGGCAAGACTAACCCGAGTATCAGGCTCCAGGCTCCCTTCGAAGGCCTGATACCCAGGTTAAGGCAAGACTCAAACTCAGAAAACAGACTGTTTCAACAATGCCTGGACATTATCTAACCATTTTAGTCATTTTGTTTAGTAACATCAAGACCCTCCTGCTGTGTTTTGCACAAAAAAATATAAATCCATGACTGATGGATAAAGCAATTTGTTACCATTGATTTTTTATTACCTTCCTGGCTGTATTACCAGCTAGTTCTTCTTGTTTTGTRTTCCTTGGATACAACAGCATTATGACAGTTATGATAATGAGAAGAACACCAATTCCAAAAACTGCATTCCTAAAAAAAGTATGAGCTGAAACAATAAGCTTACCATCTAATTCATTTTACCAATACATATGAAAACTTGAATCATTCAGTCCCCCTTGCCAGTTTTATATAACAAAAATAGGGTTAAAGAGGGGATATATGCTTTGTCACTCCTTTAGCACGTTTTAATAATTGGAATAAAACTTCATTAAGACACTTACTTCAGTCCTCCTGTGGCTCTTGATAACGCAACACATCCAATGATACCCAAAACCCACAGAAAAATCAACACAAACAAACCAACTCCGACTCCCAGTACGAGGGCCATCCTTGTTGTTATCCAAAACAATTTACGAGAAGGGACAACATCCAAATGCMTTTTCCAGTTATCTAGTGCAGAAGAGGAATTATCTTCCTGTTGTATAACATCCAAACTTCTTAAAATATCTGCGAAGTATCCAAGTTGACCGCCATAATCAAATACTGCTGGTCATAAGAGACGCGGCGCAAGGGATTTTAATTTTATGGGCTTCCTGCGTGTAATATTTCAATGAGCTTCAAACGTTCAAAAGCAAAAGTACCTGCTGCAAAAGTATAATTACAAAAATATAACATTTAAAGCAATATAGAAGAATTGAAAAATGGACTATTCTGGGAGGTATAAAAAGCAGTATATCATCTGAATGCTAATTTTTATTCCTACATATAAATACTGGGCTGCCTGTGGTAAGTGGTTTCTTGGAGTTGTGGTTTGTTGGTTTCAGTCAAAACCCAAGTGAGTAATTGTGTAAGAATGTCAGACTTTATTGACTCAGAWGAAGAAGAAGAAGAAAAGGAATTGTATCTTGGGGTAATATTACAGTTCTTGTTTTTTATWAAGTATAACTTTAGCTTTACAGTCCAAATAGAGGTGAATCGACTTACACAGTCAACCAGTGTGTCTAAAACTGCCTAAACTTTCTTGATTGAATAKCCACWTAACGAYTATAAATGCACTTTCGAAGGAGTACGAAGGCCAGAGGAATGAATTAGGCGAACGGCATGGGGAAGGTCGAGCTGTTTTGCCAACTGGCGACGTCTACGATGGATCATACTTCAACGGAATGAGACATGGACGGGTGAGTCAAATTCATTGAGTCGACCTTGAATTGCACTTGATTCTGCAGTAGTTTCCCATCACATAAACAATTATTATTATTCTGACTATTGTCAAATCTAATCCAACTGAACAACAAGTCGTCTTGGAAACCTGTTGGAMGGTTTACTTTCATACTTTAT